GGGATTGACTGTATAGCCAATACATCCTTAAACAGGATCTTCTTTATATATATATTATTAATATTTCACCGGATTCGATTACTGAAATCTTTTCTATATCTATTGCCACGCATCTAGAGATATACTCACTATAAGCTTATTTAATCAACCGCGAACGGCAACATTTCTCATGTACGAACCTGATACATCAAATGGATACTATGATCATTTTTTTCGTATCGTTTCTCTTCAATTTTGCAACGCGTTTGGACATCGTTTAAGGAGCGTGAGGCAGGAGTGGAAAAGGAGCACGGTTTACGTAAGAGAGAACCGCAGGCACGGAGAAAATTCTTCGCGACAAAAAGCAAACCGCCTCTGTTGCATTTTTCCTTTTCACTCGGAGTCGTAAAAGTTGCGTACAAGCAATTTCGATCGAGATTTGTTGCCAGTTACGTTCGTACGGTAGAATCTCATCGATTTCGTTCGTAGACGTAAGATATTATAAATAATGCATCGGTTTAGAGCGAACGATCGTCAATCTCTAGATTGCAATTTTTAAATCGAGACATAATTAATTCGATACAGTTCGAATGCAGCACTCCGTGCTGGAGCATTTCTGATACTGTTTAGCTACCACAGAGTTGCGGTTCCAATAAATTATGAGCAATACTCGTGGTAGCTCGATCACGTGCAATTATATGAAACATTCTTCAAGCAATTTAATGGGAGCTATTAGTCACAGTTTTGATATATTTTTGGTTAGCGTTCAATCGTGCGTAGAATTCGAAAGCAAAGTAGAACGTGTAGAAATAACAACTGAAATCTGCGTGACCCGCACGATTTTACCAGATATGATCGGGACGAGCCGAACTTTCGATCGTTAATTACTACCACCACCACCGGGGCTAACAGTTTGTCAAGAAAAAGTCGTTCCAGGTCGGTGAAACTCAGAAAGTATTACACAATATCGTTTTATTAAAAAAAAAACGATATCGTTCGCTCGTACCGTGTCTTTTTTTTATTATAACTCTTTTCGCGATTGCTTTTATAACTCCATTTTATAGTCCATCAATTTTTAGGAAAAATTACTTCCCTTTTTTTTTGTACGACTAAGAAATTAAACGGTGCGTTTAACAGAATGCATTTATTATCTATGCAGTTTTCTTCGTTACGCGAAATTATGAGCGCGAAGCGTTGGGCAACGGGAGAACGTCGACTTTTGAACTATACCCGAGTAAACAGCCAATTAGCTAACTTTTTCTGTTGCTAACATCGATTTTCCAGCACGCGTGTTCCGCCATATAAACAAATGCTTTAACACGACACGTAATTTCCACACCTGTAAATTACGTAATAGCACCGAGGCAACTGGAATTCAAATCGAATATCAGTTACAGATCATCGACCTCTGACCCGTTACGACGATTCTCAATCTTTCATAGGGATCGACGACTTCAAGCACGCTATCTGTATTCTAAATAGAATCAGTCAAGATTATTTTAAATATTGAATCACTATTTTAAAATATGTTATAGCAATTGCTTTATGATACCAAGCATGAAGATAAAGAAAGAGAACAGATAACTGAGATAAAGTAGTTAATAATAAGTAGAATGTGTATCTTTGATAAGCCTCCCACATTAAGAGTAGAAAATAGGATACACGATTTAAAAAAAAAAATCAGAAATCTAATAATCCATCGTCGTGTTAATTAACGGAATTTCTCCTGTTTAGACACTGGAAAGAAGGAGCAAATCGAGGCGGTGAATTTGGAGTTGGTCTCGATGAGGCCCTACGCGGGCAACAATCTACAGACGAAGGGTCAAGAGGCCTGCGAAGTTCCAGCTGATCCCTACGAAGAGTATTTCGTTCCGGTGAACGAGCATCGAAAGTACATCAGGTAACGGATAACGCTTGGAAACGTTCCTCTCTCGTCTGCTCTCTGTGTTCTCTTCCTGGCTACTGTTTAACATTCAATCGCGTTCACCAGTCCGGGGCGTTCTGAGATCGGGAAAACACGAACCAAGACCACGAACACTATACAGTCTTCTCCCCGTGTCTTCAATTCCATTCAATTATGTAACAAAGAGTCGTACTCCCCCCCCCCCCTTGTCCCAAGTATTTACTGTCTAAAATCTGACGAATATTCCGAAACAATGATTATATCAGAGATTATACGAGAACGTATAGTTGCAATAAAAATCGTGAGCGTTCCAGTAGAATTTTAGGTAAAAGAATAGAAATGAGAACGTCAGAGGGAATAGAAATTTCGTACTGAAACAAGACGTAATACATCGAACGATGCAAATGTGTCGGTAGAGAACGAAAAAAAGATGAAAAATTGCGGACACCAACGGGGAACGAAAGTGCACAGACGCTACGTTCACCGATGAAGGAGCTTGCGAAACGAACGTGTCATAATGTTTCACGGCAAAATGTACTGGTTGCAAAAATGATCGTCCTTCGTCAAGTTGCGTGCCAGAACTAGAAATAGAATCGTTCCGTCGATACCGATTTCCATTTTATTTCGAACGAAATTAAATCGATTCTCTGCACACGCTGAGTAGTTAGTCTCTAAATAATTCAAAAGGCATTTTTACCGAATGTTTCATATGGAGAAAGACGTAGAAAGTTTGATTTACGCTTGTTTAACGTAGAATACGAATTATTCTCTGACGATGTAATACATTTGCATGAAGCATATACATGAAACGTTTCTAATTGACGTAGATTTTATTAAAAGCCGATTCTGTAAATGTTTTTGAAATTAATAGCAGAAAAGGTTTATTTTTTTATAAAAATCGGACTGTTAGAAGTATCACTGGTGAAGATAAATTTGTGGAAGATCGATGAGGCGAGTCATCGAGTATCTGCTTTATGTGAGATTTGCTAGCGTAACTTTAGAGGCACACAGTATCCAGCTTCACCGCCGCTGACCGCGAGGCTCTAGCCCACACACGAGATACATGTACATATCTCATATATATATATATATATATATGTACCAATATATCCACACGTATACACGACAAACACAGAGGCCAAGCTGAGTAGTGAGAGTTAGACGGTGTTTTCTGTTGTATCACGATACCTAGCAGGGGTCCCGAGGCCGAGGTTGAAACGACCGTGGCTGGAGTGCGTTTTGATTTGGGCCCCGGCGTCGGCCGCGAGGGACTCAGCCTGAGAGACCCAGCCGCCGGACTGGTCGACTATTCCCACTGGCTGACAGCCCTCAGGTACATTGAAGGATGCTTACGGACGAGGATCGAGTCTGCTGACCGGTCAAACGAACACGGTGGATGCGCACGATTCGCGAACTAACCCCGCCCGCTTACACCCACGCGCCCCCACCCCCCCTCGCTGCTACCCCAAAAATTTTTTTTGTAACGACCCGACCAACCCGACGAGATTCAACGGCAATTCACAATCTTCCCATATCGCAAAGCACCGCAATGGCAAATAGAAACACGACTAATAGAAACCCGGATAGACTTATCGTTCTCAATGGATCGAGAAGACTCACTGTAGTTACGCAGCGTCGTAATGAAACAATTCAGAAGCAGACTCACCATACATTGAATAAAATGGACTTCGATGATTCTTTTGTGTTTGAAACGGAATACAGGAAAGCACGGGGAAACGTGTAAAAGAAATGTTGAAGGATCGTTTAGAATCATGGTGTCTGTTCGTCTAGGGAAGCTTTTAATCTCATGGTCGCTGAAGAAGGTCTCGGAAAACACTGACAAGCACAGTGCTGTACAAAACATGCTTCTCTTGGGTCTAGGATGAGGGTGAACCAATGCGGTTCTCGACTGTCAGTTAACCGCAAATGAAATTGTGTTGCAGGGGCGAGAAGCTTTACGTGACTAAGGACAAAAGGTCCAGGAGCTCCTACTGGAGAAGGATGGCCTGCTGGGGATGTGGTTTAGTCGTACTACTGGTAGCAGTCATCATTGCCATTTTGGCTGGAAGTAAGTGACGAAAAAAGAAATTGTTTTAAATATAAAACAGGAATGAGTATAAAATAAAAATTGCACTTTAGCTGGAGTAATTCTGACGCAAGAAGCCTCGGAACCACTGGAGAATCTCCAACAGACTAACTCCCGACAGTTTGGTGACGTGCGGACGGCGGGAAGTCAAGAATACGTGAAGGATCCTCCATCGAGTCCACCACCAGCGACTTCCAGCGTTCCACCCTGGCCAACGACCGACGAAACGATTTACAACATTGTTCCTAATGCTTTAGACGGGGTATTGAAACTTGACGAGTTCCGATGGGACACGGAGATGGACGATCCCAAATCGAGAGTATACAGACAAGTTACTTCGGACATAGAAGACTACTTGAAGAGCACGCTGCAGCAGCCTGATAACGAAACGATCGTAAAAGTGTACGACATAAACAAAGATGGAGAAGTGAGGTTTCGAATCAGTTATCCACCCCGTTCGGTGCCCGAAGAGATGCAGCGGATGATCGAAGAAACGGTGCAGACTAATGGCAACATGATTGGACGTTACCACTTGAACAGTCTCAGAGTGAATAAATTAGTGGATCAATGTGAAAATAATAATCTTGGTTGTTCCGAACAGTGCAAATACGATTATTCTAAAGGACTTTTCGTTTGTGTTTGCAATGCTGGGAAAATGTTGGATAATGAGGGGAAGAATTGTATCGATGAGAATGATTTGAGTAACGTGGAAATGGACGACGAGGTACTGCAGGGTAATACGAAAATAGTGCAGGACACTGTTCAAGGAAGGAGCAGGGGACCTGGGTCTGTTTTTGAACCCAGGAGGCCTGACGAGTGGGGCCACGTGGACGTCAGTACCGAAAGTGCAAGTACGAGTCAAAGCGATAAATCTATAGAATCAAATGATTCGGGACATGATCATTCGATGCACGATCATTCGGAACACGGTCACTCAATGCACGATCATTCGGAACATGATCACTCGATGCACGATCATTCAGGACATGATCATTCGGAACATGATCACTCGATGCACGATCATTCAGGACATGATCATTCGGAACATGATCATTCCATGGACGATCATTCAGGACATGATCATTCAATGCACGATCATTCGATGCACGATCATTCGATGTCTGATCACTCGATGCATGATCATTCGGAACATGATCATTTTACTGTTGAGCCAAAGTCGGAACCAGAACCGTCTGCTGTACCAGAACCATCAACAGAACCGGAACCTTCTGCAGAACCAGAACCATCAGCAGAACCAAAACCATCTGCTGAACCAGAACCATCAGCAGAACCAGAGCCATCAGCAGAACCAGAACCGTCAGCAGAACCAAAACCTTCTGCTGAACCAGAACCATCTGCAGAACCAGAACCATCTGCAGAACCAGAACCGTCAGCAGAACCAGAACCTTCTGCTGAGAACCAAAACCATCTAGAACCAGAGCCATCAGCAGAACCAGAGCCATCAGCTGAACCAGAATCATCAGCTGAACCAAAACCTGTCGAAGACCTGAGTTTCGTTAACCCGATAGCTTCTACAGAAATGAAAAGCAGCACTGAGACAACCATTCCTAGTGAAGTGAAGACAACCATTCCTACAGTAGCTTCTGACGAGTTGAGATCGAATACAGAAGCCTCTGTGGAACTAAAGTTCTCTAGTGATCCAGAATCTTCAACAAAGTCAACGAGTGAACATTCTGTAATATTAAACCAACCAGATTTCACTACTATATCTGGAATGTCTGACGAAATGACGACTACTGAACATGAAGTACTGACATCGCCAGATACCACGACTGATCACGGCGATGTTGAACATTCCACCGAAATGCAAGATACTACGAAGTCTGAAGACACCACAGAGAAAATCTCGTCTACCGAATCAATGCATAAAGCAATTGATACTGTAACTGAGCCGTCTTCCTCTGAAACGTCGGATTCTCCTGAATCTCTTTCTACGAAACCTGAGAGTATTACTCCTCACGTTACTACAAATATGGAATTGGAATCTACGACACCGATGTCGATAGAAACTACATTAGCCAACGAAGAGAAGTCTGACGAAATGGATAACGACGCATCTCTGACGGTAATTCCTTTAACGCTCGAGAAGGATGAATCGTCGCCATTTGAAGATCATTCGGAATCAAGCGTGACGGTAATGGACACAACGACGAGAGAAGACGATGAAAATAAAATGACAACGAATTTCATCGAAATGGATAGAACAAGCACGCCGAAGAATGAACAAGTTCCTGAGACCAGCATGTCACACGATGAATCTGAATACACTACGATGAACATAATCAACGAGAAGTCTAAAGAATCCAGCACTCAATCTTCAATGTCTGAAGATGAGTCAACCACGAATTTCGGGACAACCCTTGTAACAGAGACCACGTCAGAAAACATGTCTGAACTGAACTCAATTATAGAAACAACTAGTGGCGAACCGAAGTCACTGAACGATTCAGTATTATCCGATGAATCTGTTTCGGTCCGACCAGAGTCAAGCTCGCGCGAAGTCAATGAGACGAACGTCATCGAGCACATGCCGACGACAGTGTTTCCCAAACTGCCAAAGAATTTCGGTCACAACGTGGAACCCTTGATAGAGCCGCTTAAGAACGAAACGAGCGACGAGCACATCATGCTGATACCAAAAAGTGAGGAAGTTGCTGATCCTCATGCAATCATTCCTCAGTTAATCCCTGAAGCGAGTCAAACTTCGAACGGTTCGACGGTGGAGAACAAGATCGAAGCTTCCACCGAGTCTTCTGTAGTTTTACATCCTTCCACGTCTCGATTAGGAGAAAACGTGGTTTTTGAGAATGTAGAACATTCAACGAACCACCCTTTGCACCCAGCCGTGTTTCCCGAGAACACGGTCGAGCACACTACAGAGAAGTTCGATCCTGCTTATGATAAACACGTAGACGACATGTCACCGTTCCTGCCGGATGTCCAAAAAGAAAAGGAAGTGAAGAAGGCGCCCAGATTGGACAAGGACGAACAGGACGTTCCGAATCCATTCGAGGGACACGTGGAAGACGTGGTCACATATAAACCTTTAGTAGAAACTTCCACTGAGGCAAAAATTAATACCAGTGAACCGAAAGAATCTTTAAACGATGTTCATTCAGAAACGCAGACCATCAAGTCGTCTGATGAAGGTGACAAAGTGACGAATGTCGAAGTTGGAAATGAAGTCGGCCGTAGTTTCAACGACCTCAATATTAACGGCACAGAACACGAGATTCAAAGCGGACTGCACGTTTATGATAACAAACCAGAAGTAAATGAAAATACTGAAGAAGACGAAGAAGCGTTGAAGGTGGTACCATTAGAGGAACAGTTCAAGGAAGCTGAGACCACTGTGAAGGTGGAGACAACTGCAGAGCCTAATACAGTCACGATGATTCCAGTGAACGAAACCGAAATTAAAGATCCAGTTGTAACTAATATTACAATTGATAAACCAGAAGAAAACGCTGTAGAAGATCAGTACAATGATATAAACGACGACACGGTGTACCAGCAACCTGACTCAAAGATTCATAAAAAGATTGAGGACGAGTCTAAGAAATTCATTATTAATCAAGTGGAGTCAATTAAGACGACAGAAGAACCGGTTACAAACGATAAAACGAATGTTACGACGAATGACACTGAAGTTACGATGACTACAATTAAAAATGTACCGGATAAACATATGGAAGACGCGAAATTCACCACGCAGATACCAGTACTGCCACTGGAGATACAACAAGATATGTCGACTACTGAGAAAGTGGAAAGTACGACAGTAGAAGAAAATCATCGTAAAGAAAATAGCACGGAACATCAGAATATCAGTGCTCACATCGGTTCTGAAGACGTTACCACGGTTCAGACCACGCACATGTCGATGGAAACCAAGACCACGGCTCAGGTTCCAATACTACCAGAAGAATTGCAAACTACTGAGAGCGAAGCAGTGTTGACTACGTCCACTGTGAAATCAGATACTGAGACGAGGACTGCTGACTCTGATATGATCGAAGAAAAGAATTCTACTGTCGTTAATAATAATAATAATAAAACCGAAGAGATGGTAATTAGCACGGACCGACAAATAATTCGAAATGATACGGAAATTAATAGCACTTTGTCACAAGAAAACGTTTCTATGAACATCACTAATGCAAATGAGGAAAAAGAAAATGCAACAGAAAATTCAGCGATCAGCAGTGAAACTACAGAATCGCAAAAGTCCGAACAAATTTCGAGCACGACGGAGAACATCAAGCCAGTTACTGAAATATTAGAAGACGATACTCTTCCAGTAACGTTTGATTACAGAACACGTTTCACTACTCCTACACCGAAGATATTGCCCGACATGGACGTAGGAGAATTGTCCGAAGAAGATTTAAGAGTGATACCATTAGAGAAGACTATAGAAGTGAAGAAGAAATCGACGGATAAGAAATTGATTGATAAATATAAGTATAAGAAGGAGAAGGAATTGAACTTCGAGGAGGACGATGATAAGAACGTTTTAACAGAAATCCCAGCTACCATATATTCGACAGATCATGATTTGAACGTAGTTGGGACGGACAACAACACGGAAGTGCCGGCGTTTATAGAAGCCGTGCCAAAATTAAAAATTATCGAGACGACCAATCAGACGGGAAGTTCCATTAATGAAACTACCACAAAAAGAAGCTTTATCCCTGTTTTCGAAGAAATAACGGAAATAGAACCCGTGACAGAGCCGTTCTTTCGAAACTTCTATCACCACCGATCGACCGTGGGCTCGGCGACAGAAAATCCATCGAACGAATCAGGCAACGAGAGCCACGTAGCAATCAGTGGAGAATCAGATAACGTAAAAGTGAACCAGACAGGCTCGTGGCCTTCGGTGCTTCCTACGACACGTTCGTCCGCTGCTTCAATTTCTCAAGAAGCGAACGTAAACCAGATTGCGAAAGATGCGAGCATCGTACCTAAGCAGACTAAATCGTCAGAGGAAAGCACCAGCCATATCGACGTTTCCTTTTTAAATCTACCTCCGAACGTCGTCTTTTCTAAATGTACAGCTGGTCAATTCCAGTGCGTAAACGGAACGTCCAGAGACGGAGCATATTGTGTGCAATTATCAGCCAAATGCGACTCTGAGAATGATTGCTCGGACGGTTCGGACGAACTGAATTGCCAGAAGGAAGGCTGTCCAGGAAATTTCCAGTGTGCCAGCGGCCAATGTCTAAAAAGAGATCTGGTTTGCAACAAGATAGTCGATTGCGATGACGGAAGTGACGAGGCTTATTGCGATCAATGGAAATGCCAGTTCGACGAGTTTAAATGCCCCAATGGTGAGTCCTTTAAATTTTCATTTAATTAAAAAATAGCCCGTTTTAAGAAACCTAAATTATTTTTAAGTAATTAAATAATTGGAAAGGTAGACAGCAAAACGAGTCGTTTAATGCAAATCGGAAAGTGAAAGGAAAACATTGCACGTCCCCGTTTAATATTTACTAGAGGTTTCGCAATCGATAGGCGACGAGATTCTAATACATCGGATATATAGATACGCTTTTTTCGCTAATAAGGGTTATCAGGGTCAGTAATTATCGCTTGAGCAAATTGCCTATAAGCCAGACATGTCCAAGTTGTTATTTTAAACGTGGGAGTTCTCTCGCTGACTTTCGATCAGGGTGAAGAACCGAGCACTGATTGTAAAAGTTTTAAATGATAAAATAGTAGAGAAATGATGTTGTGTTAGTATGTAGCTGATAAATAGGCGACTACCGTGTCGAGTTATAGACTATTTAATGTATACATTTATTATCGTCTACTCAGTCTACTGTTTACTTTTACCCATCTTGCGGGGTCGCGTAGTAAGCGATTCTAAGAAAGAAATCTAACCCGATCTGTAGCCGTACACATCTGGAGACTACTGCACTTCTGAATGGATGCGTATCGTTCTTTATTACTCGTCGGCCTTGTAGTATTTACAAAACGGTTGAAGTGCTACCCACTCTTGAATGCTCTTCAGAGGAGCATCAACATATAAACGAACAACCTGTCTCATGACAGATCCCTGATATATTTCATCAGCATCATACTTTGTCCCTCAATGCAGGATCTAATCTTGTATGTAATTTTGTAATCCAAAGAAAACTTTCTGGTATTTGGTGTACATACGCGAAATTGGAAGAAACAACTG